AAAATTGATTAATTTACTGATATGAAATTATACTGTAAAAATATTTACAAATTTTAATTTCATATCCAGTACAGTCTTCTAATGCAAACTAATTATTACAGAGGGTTGTTCAAATTACTGAATTCTTTTTATTAGGGATTACATATGAAGAAAAGAAATTAAATAATGCTACAGACAAATTATATATTTAAAAAGACTTTTGTATTGTGCTCAGTATGTTTGTTAACATTTTAATTTATACTAGTTTTACGGATTTGTTATGTTCTTAAAAGTAGCCTGATTTCCTCTTGTTTTAGACTAGAAATAAAATTGATTCTGATTGGTCCAAGTTTTTGATTAGTGAGATTTAACTAACGTTTTTGGCCATTTAAAATGGCCAAAAACGTTAGTTAAATTAAAGGAAGTGCTAGAAAAAAGAAAGAAAGGTGATATGATATTTTGTAAAGTTAAATATTACTTACAGAAGTAGAGACAAATTGTTTAGATCTGTATATATATATATATTAAAAGCCAAATGTTTTGTTCCCACTGAAACTGAAACCAACACTTTACAAAGAAGCAGTGTGTAAATAGGTCAGAGCAGCAGCTTGCAGGTGGGGTCTACAATTCTTTCCTCAAAAGGACCATCCATTAACTTCCTCTGAGGATTCAGTATGAATTCATGGAGAAAGTTTATTACCAAAGGGGGAGGAAGGTCTTTGCATAGGGATAGGAGACAGGAAAAGACCACTTTTGACTCAGGCTTGGAGTGGAAGAGCCACTATTTGTTTGCCACTGTAGCAGCTATTAAGTTTGATTTTGAATAATCTTTGGTTATATACAAAATACAGATATACAGATTTAGTTGTAGGTTTTTATATTATTTTTAATAATAATTATATATATATTAAAAGCAAAATGTTCCATTAACACCACACACAAATAACGTAAATTAATTTGATTTACAATTTGAAAATTTCAAAATAACTTTTATATGGTTTTTAAAAATGTTTTAATTTTCATTTGATTTGATTTTTGGTTTTGGTATAAATGTCAGAGTTATAATTAATTTTTGGTTTAATTTATTTAATATTAATTTAGTTTGTTTTATAATTATTTATTATTATTATTTATTTAATTTTACTCACATTTTTTGAACCCTTAATTACAATTTTTTTTAATTAATTGCAACTCATTTTTTTCTTTTGTGACATAACTATGGAAATTGTTTTAGTGTTGCTTCGCACAAAATATAATTAGATTTAAATTTATTTTAATTTTTTAATAATTTTGTTAATTTTTGTTTTATAAATTTGTCTGCTTTTAAAAACTTTTTTAAATTTTAATTTTGTTAACATTAACCGAACTGTCAGACTATCTATAATGTAATACAGTAGAGCCTCGAAAACTCGCCTAATGTGGACCGAAGGGTGGCTGAGTTTGTGAAAATGCCGGGTTATCGGGAATGGGGTTAAAAAAAATAAGTATGAGTGTTTCCTCAGAAAATACTATACTGTACTTGTATGTATTGTTTACTTGAGAATACAACAGAGAATAAACTGCCTAAATACCCCTAAACAAAGGAAAAGTACGTCTTTTATGAAGGCATAGAGCCTTTACTACATGAAAATGAAAATTAATGAATACACTGTGTACAGTAATTTACCTGATAAGACAGACCTCAGAAAAATACTTTACGAGAGCTTTTATACTTTTATAAAGCTGTCTATAATGAAAATTAATTAACTAAGGACTTTTTTGCCCTGCCAGGGTGTGGCTGAGTTATCCAGAGTGCCGAGTTTTCGAGGCTCTACTGTAATTGTAAAAAAAAAAAAATGCTTGAAAGCAAAATTTTTTCAGATTTATGTAATAAGTTATATTAATCGTTTTCTAATTTTTACAATAGAAAAGTATTTATATATATTTATAATTTCTTGTGTTTTATAATTTCAGCATGTCTATAGCAACATCTGCTGGAAATCATCCAGCAAGTTTTCAGAATCTCTATCCATCTCCATCCAGTCCAACTGCCCCACCAATAGATCCTGCAGTAGCAGGGGATAAAAAAAGAGCTAGAGTATTATATGATTATGATGCACATGATAGTAGTGAACTTTCTCTTTTAGCTGATGAGGTATATTATTTTATTATTTAATGTGTTTTACATTCAAATTCTCGAGTATCAAATTTATATTTATTATTTATGCAATTGTTCAGGTAATTTATGTTACATCAAATTCTGGATTGGATCCAGATTGGATGATGGGTGAACGAGGAGCTCAGAAAGGAAAGGTACCGATCGCATACTTGGAAATACTGAACTGAGGACACTGGGGAAAACATTTGATGCTAAAATTTGATAATGATGAAACATCGAAATCCAAATAAGCTCGGAATTGCAATACAATTCCTAATGTGATTATAGAGAATTTACTATAATTATGTTTAAATATTACTATTGAATGTTTATCTTCTACTTAAATTTGTTGGATCCTATTTAAATCACTAAGTGTGCTTATCGATGTATTGTAAATCTGATGTTTCACATAAAACATTCCCTTTGATCTTCAAATTCAACGATATATTAAAAAGAAAAAGAGAGAGGAAAAAAAAAGGAAATTTAAAGAATGTGGTTAAAAATAACAAAATAATAGTAACTAATTATTCTTTTATTATTGTTATTTTTCTTAGAGCTTTATATACTGTATATACATGGTTTTCTGTGGCCAAGCTATATACAAAAGTTATAAAAAAGTTCAGGATTATAATATGACTAAAAAAATATTAAAAAAATTATACCCAGTGTGATAAGGTAATATTCAGAGTAAAATGTTTAAAAACTAAATTATTTAAACTTTAGTAATATAAATGCATTCCAGCTTATTTCAGATGTATATTACATTTAGTTTATTCTTTATTTCAGTGTACATATTAATATTTGAATAGTCTTCAATTAAAATATAATAAAATTGTTGTATTAGAAAATTCCATTCTATTTTTAATGTAAATGTTTCAGTTCCACTAAAATTTCAATTGAAATAATAATCCAAAGAGCTTAATTACTACTATATGAAATACGTTTGAATATTAAAATGTACTGTATAAGCCGATAATTTAATAGTAAAAACATGTTTTTAGATTATTTATTCTTGAATCTAAGAGTTTATAGATCGTTCAGACTGGAACAGATTTATAATAGATTTTATAGTTAACAATTAGAGGATTCAGTTCTTATGTGAAGTTAATTAAAAGTGAATTTAAAATCTTAACTATTAATTATGAAGAAATTATAGAATATGACATAGTGTATTAAAAAGTTTTCAAGAAAATTTCTTTAATCTTTATTTAAAAATTGCATTTAACGTTAATGTACGTTGTACAGTTTTCGAAGTGAAATGTGATTTGTAATTAACTTTTATGGAGATTACAAAATGTTTCAATGAGATTATTAACAATCCTTGCGAGATTACTAAAATTTGTGCAGCACCTTTTAATGAAGATACTTAGGGGAAGGATTAATAATTTTTTTAAAGATTTGGGGATTTATTTAAAACAATGAGGCATATTACTCTATATCAATAAGTATATACAGTGTATAAAGAGGATATTACCTCAAAAAAAAAATATTTGTAAAATTTAAATATATTTGAAAGAGAATCCTTTATTCAAATTATTCTATATCTTAGTGAATTTTGATTTCCTTTCACTAATTTATAGAATATATATTTAAAAAAAAATAAGAATGAGCCCACCGAATGATTCGTTATGGCATAAATATATAGTTTTTTTTTATAGTTCTCAGGCTCAACTTTATTGTTAAAGCCATGTTTACAAGACAATGAATTTTTTAAAATAAAAAAAACTTTAAAGCAACCTCAAAATTTAAAAAAAATAATTAATATTTTATAAAGACAAATCTAAAAATGTTTGGATTATTAAGATATATCTAATGCATTTTGGATCAAAAAATAAATAAATAAAATATTACAATGGAAACAAAATCAAATTTTGAGATTTATTAAACTTAGATAAATTGAATAGTAACTATCTACATGTATATATAAATTGTATTTAAGACTTTCATTCTATTTGCTAGATGTTGTATTTTAAAAGATATGTTAGAAACAATTTTTTTATGGTTATTAGATTGTTATCGAAAAGAAACGGTAAAAAAAAAAATATTGTAGTATTCAGTTATACTTTAAATTATATATTGAAAATTGTAACAGAAAAGCATTTTGCACTAGAGATGGATTTAGAATTGTTCTTCAGCATCCGAATGCTGTATTCAAGTTTAGAAAATGAAATTTCATGTTGACAGATTGATGATAGAATAAATAATATAAAAATTTTAAATGAGTTTTTCTTTTATTTTAATTATACAGTACATAGCAATAGTTATTTAAACTGTGCACCCCAAGACACAGCAAGATATACCACAAATATTATGAGTATATTTTAAAAATGAGAATTATTCATGTGAATATTTATTACATCCATGATAAATTATAGAGTTGTCATGGATGTAATAAACCTATGGAGCTTACAGGATAACAGTTGTTATAGTACATAACTATTTATAATTTAAAATATATTTAATTTTGTACACGAAGTGTGCCAGAAAATTTTGTTTTACAGTATGCCGCCAGCAAAAAATGTTTGAGAACAAGCGGTGTAGAAATATAGAAATGTTACACTTCATATTATTGAATGTTAAGTCTGGATTCATCCATTAAAAACCTACAAACTTATACAATAAAGAAGATAATTTATAATTCTAATATACAATTAATAATAATCATTTTTATTTTTGTTACCCTTTCCGAGCTTGCTAAGAGGGACTCTCTTAGCAAGCTCACTGTGGGTTTGGCCAGACCCACAATGGGGCAGCCTTGTAATAATCATTTGATTTATTGCACTCTAAATTCTTAATTATTATTCTTAACAGTCATGGCCATCACAACAAATTTTACAGTCCAATCTCCAATAACGGCCACCATACAATGCATATAGAATAACCTCCGAACAATATAGTGGCCCCTGTTCAGAGGTTTGACTATCAGCATTTATATTCGAAAATGACCACCACATTTTAAGCAGGAAAGGATATATTAAATTACTTTAATTATCACAAAAAAAAAAAAAAAAACTTGTATTTAATTGTAACTATTTGATGTTAACAGAAGCATTTTTACATTTTAAAATTGTTGGAAGGACACTTCTGTGTTAAAAATACAATCTAACTTTGATGTAATATTCACGCCATTCTAACCAATTAATATTCTCTTCGCATAATTCATTAAACAAGTTGTCATCGATATAAATTGCCGGATTTTGTGCTATCTTGATGGTACCTACAAACCCAATATTTTGTAAATTTGGTACAGCCTTAATAAAAACTTCTACATTCTTTGGTATGAACATAGGATATGGAATATGGACTTCACCGTTTCTTTCACAATAATAATCGTCCTCTTGAATAGAATTTCCAATTATACATTTGACTTTAGCTCGTATCTTTGTACCTTCCATTAAATGGCAAATGGGGATAACAATTCCAGTTAAAAAGCAATCTTCTTTAGCAATGAAACAACAAAAGAATTTACAATTTTCTCGAAGTCTGGCATTAATTTTAGTTTTGAATTGGCGACGGTGTTTATAATCGATCAAAGGTCTGTAACATTGCTTTGTTCTTTTTATTCGAATTGGACAGAGATTGGGATGAATATGTAAATCAGGAACGTCCCTGCTTTTAGATATACTTTCTTTCTCGTCTGGTAATAATATATTTTGCATAAATACGAAGTTTAATTCTGTAGAAGTCATGGATAAGAAGCGTATCCTATTTAAGAAGGGTAATAAATAACAGCGGATTTTCATATTACGGTAGTTTATATCGCTGCTGTTTTCTTCGTATTCGAATCTCTTTTCCGCCCATAATACTATATTATAAAATAGTTCAACTTCTTTTAAGTATTTATATTTTGGTCGAGAAACAAATGTGTCGATTGTTATAGTTTTGCAACGAAGAAAACCTTTGGAAGTTAAAACTGCGTTACAATAATCGTCGAACCAAATCCAACATCGATATTGAAGTCGTCGATCTTCTTGTTCGCATGCAAATTCATAAATTTCACATACGTCGTTGGAATTTATGCGATCGTTTAAAAATATTCTAGAGCTCATTAAGATCGAATTCATGCGAAATTTCTTACTCATTTTATATAATTCGTAAGCATCTTGAAGAGATGACAATTCGGGATCTCCATTTTCTAAATATCTGAATTTAAAAATAGGTTTGTTATTTTTTAAAATAATACTGTAATACAAGTCGACCCCCTATAACGCTGTTGATAATTCCGTTTTATATGAATTCCATGTTGTACGAGTCACTTAGATTTTACAAATACGTGTGCCGGGCTGTGAATGGCTCACGTATTTGTAAAATCTAAGTGACTCGTACAACATGGAATTCATATAAAACGAAATTATCAACAGTGTTATAGGGGGTCGACTGGTAGTTAAATTGATATATTCGTAGTATAATTTTACTTTTTCGAATGTATAAGATTTTTAATGTTCGAATTGAATATCAGATTTTTAACCGGTCCTATGGTATTTTTTTCCAGTATATCTTTTATCAAAGGAGTAGAATTTTTTAGAAGAGAACTGCTGATGTCAACCTTCTCCTCTCCATCCTCACTCCAAATGCTGATATTGTATACTTCAGAATTAATTGAGGACATTTTACGATAATAAATCTGGTATTCGATATCTATTATTAAACTTTATTGTTTAAAATTATTATTGAAATTGTTTTATATAATGATAGACAAAGAAAAATCGTTTCTTTCTATCGTTTTTCTACTGATTCCTGTTGAACACGGAACTTTATTTTTGACTCTCCACCCTGCGTGTATACTAAGGAGGCCTTTTTTTACCCGCCCATCGTGGGTTCTGCTTGGCCCACGACATATTTGAGACACCACCCAGGACCCTCTGAGCAGTGGACTGACGCCTAACCGCCTTAATCATCCGGCCGAGGTGGTTAAGGCGATGACCCCACTTCGTATGACCATGATTGCTTGTATTGATCTCTTCTGCCGCCAGTTTCATTTTATATATTTACATAAATTCGTTTTAATTTAGTTCTCATATTACTGGAAGTATAAGTAAAAGAAATGCAAACCGATGAGAGTCCTTAGTCTTCAATTATTCTCGTATCAAGATGAACCTGTTTAAGGAATAGGATTGAATTGATGGTATAAGACACTCAACACATCAGTAAATTGTGAAGATGGAATACCTCCCGGGAGGACTTTCTATATAAAAATAGTCCTTTATTTAAGTGTTAAACACGTGAATAAAACCCCGAAAAACATAATGTGGTCAGTCGCAAACCCGCGACAATCAATGTTCAGTGGTATTAGCCACTAATGGGCTCAAATTGAATTTTGAAACTTTATTTCATTCGTCGAATTTATAGTATAAAATATTTCCAAGAGTTTCCTAGAAGTACAATCTTGCTTTAATAAAATAATTAATACATTTATTGTATCCATAAAATAGCGAATGGTGTACATTTTGATCGGTTGTGTAATATTCTGCATTTTTCGCAATTTTTATCGTATGATTTTGCTGTTTTGATCTTATTTTTCCAGAAATAAACACCTCTGTGCCTTTTTTTATGAATAAAGGTTCAGAGAGAGAAATTTCACCAATTTGTGAACAAGAATATTCTGCTGTTGGTAACGATTCCGAACTTACATTTATTTCGATCAATACACACAGACGTTGTTCTTGGTGTATTATAGGAATCACCACACCAATTAGAAAACAATCGAGTTTCGGAATAAAAGAAGAATAGAACCCGCTCTTTTTACCGAATTTTTTTACTTTCCAAAATTTGTGTGTGTGTCTGTTAAGATATTCCATTAACTGTCCATAACACTGTTTATTTCTCATGCTGATAGATGGGCAGATTGTGTCAGGAAGCTTAGTTAAAATTCCTTGCTTTTGATACTCAAGAATTCCTCTCACTTCCTCCGATGATAGAATATTCTGAGAGAAAACTATATCCAATTCTTCTGTTGACATCGATAAAAAACGAATTTTATTCAAATATGCAGCCAAATAATTACGAATATCTTCATTTTCGGGCAAATTTCCATCATTGCTTACGGCTTCTGAATGGTGAGACTTGGCCCACGAAACAATACTGTCGAAGAGATCGATTTCTTTTAATGTTTTATATTTCGGACGTGAGACAAATGTTTCGATGGTTGCCTCTTGGCATCGAGTGAATTCTTCAGATTGAAGAATCTCTTCCGAGAAATCGTCGAATGTTTTCCAGCAATGATACTGAATTCGCCTGTCTTCGTATTTATACGCAAAATCGTAAATCTGACAAACGTTTTTAACATTTATAAATGATATGAGAGATTCCCTGCAGAACTTTTGCAATCTTCTTATCTCATAAATAATGCCAAACTCGTACATCTCAAACCTGTTTTCTAGGGAAGTTAATTTGGGATCTCCAGTCTCCAGGAACCTAAGCGAAATTATTGTTATCTTAAATTTAATTGAAAGTACATGCATTAAAACAATATTAAGAAAATAAAATCTTTTTTAAAAATCCCTTTAGCTCTGTGGACATTAACAAGGCTTTTTTTTACCACATATGCCAGACCTGGCCTGACCATTATGGACATATAAAAAAAAAGGATCTTCTTAATGTCCACAGGGTGGAAAGAGAGAAATGAAAAATATATTTATATAATAAAATCGAATTTAAATAATTAGAAAGTATTTTAACTACAGTATTACGTATACAGTATACGAGGCACTAGATGTACCGTACCTTTTCATTTGAAGAAGTCTTTGATAATTTTCAGATATGTTCAATACATTCAAATTTTCGTCATTTAAAAGGTCTTTAAAAACTAGACTATGATCCAGAAGAGATCTCGCTATTTGAATGCTTTCTCCATCTTCAGATTTTAGGCTAATCCTATGAGGAGGGACGTATTCCATTTTATAAATCTATGGCAATTTTGGTTAAAAATTTTTTTAAAAATTTATAATTTTTTCGCCTTGATAACGATTCTTTTCTTTCTTGATAACTAAGCAATTATTATGTTGAGATATTCAATAATTAACAATAACTTTATAAAAATACTCACATTTATAACAATTGTTAATGATTTTTCGAATTTTTAATATTTGAAAAACATTATAGTAGATCAATAAATTAATTTTTTTTATATACAAAAAATATTTACAGTAGACCCCCCCTATAACACTGTAGATAATTCCGTTTTATATGAATTCCGTGTTGTACGAGTCACTTAGATTTTACAAATATGTGAGCCATTCACAACCCGGCACACGTATTTGTAAAATCTAAGTGACTCGTACAACATGGAATTCATGTAACACGGAATTATCTACAGCAGGGCTTCTTAAACTTTTTTTATTTACGACCCCATTTATGATTGTGATTCTTGTCGCGACCCCAAAAATATAAAATAAAGATATATACAAATTTGCAAAAACAATAATGGTGTACTACCACAGTTCATTCTTATGTTACAATGGAACAGAGACAACTGAATACACATACACTGTATTCAGTGTATTCAGTTGTCTCTGTGTTGTTGAATTGTTGTCTCGCTGCACCAGAAGTGCACAAAGCGCAACTCACGAAACCTATGACACAAAGCATGCCATTTTCAAACTCACGAATTATTTTTCATATTTTGCATTAAAATCTCTCGACCCCAAGATTTCGCTAAGCGATCCCAAATGGAGTCGCGACCCATAGTTTAAGAAGCCCTGATCTACAATATTATAGGGGGATCTACTGCATTAATAAGTAAAATAGCGAGAAAGGATAAGAACCATATCCTTAAAACTCTAAGAAATTAAATTTTATTTTTATTCTTACGAAAGTTCACTTTTTTTTTTCTCTGCCCAGCGGAATAAAACTGCTGAACACTGATGTTGGTCGCGGGTTCCTGCCTAAAATCTAAATATACGCCAGATTCTCACTGAGTCTTTCTGAGAAGCATCCCCATTGGCACACTGCCCAAGTGTAGTGTTTGCCTTATTCTGTCGCCTGGTTACAGATAATATTGAAATTAAAGTTGTTACGCTGGCATCTAATATCTCAGACCTCGTGTTTAAATAAAACGTAAAAATATATTAAGTACTGAAGTTTTTATTATGAAATGTATAATAATTTAATGAACATCTCAGTATTTATTATTACGATATTAACATTTATTTTTTTGGCTGATTTTTATTGTTTATAAAATAACAAAGCAGTCATAATACTGTGGATAAGTGAAATGTGTTTTTATTGTGAAATTTTAGAAAGACTTTTCTCACTTTTCAGTAATTCCAATTAAAGCCGAGACATTTGGGAAACTTCCCCGAAACTATTGTTATTCAAGTAAGTATTTAGATATTTTCAAATTAATATTTCTTTATAGAAATGACTGAAACATCTTAAGTGCACTTATCTGCAATTCCAATTGTTAATGGCGATCATTGTTACGAATATACAATGGGTGTTAGATATATACTGCTCGTTTTAAACAGTTATTTAATATAAATTAGAACAATTCGTGTTTTAGTTAAATTGCTAGTGATAATTAAATAATAATCTATTATAAATACAAGCAAAGATTACAGTTAATTTTGGCTAGAATGTCTTTTTATGTCATTCACTTGTAATCTCTGCAACAAACTCTTGTAGATTGTACAATGGTTATATGTAGATAAGTATAAATTATTTCTTAAAAGTTACTTTTTTAAGCAATGTTTTAGAAAACCAATAAGTATATTTACTAATTTAAAAAATTAGTAAATATTTTTAAATCCCATTAGAAATTAAATGTCTATCTTAGGTTTTAAAATGGCATCATCATTAGAGTATAATGAAGTAATCTTAAGAAGTGAAATTGGAATGGAAGTACTCGTTTCAAAAGAGCAGGCGGTAGAAGCTAGTCCTGTGATTAGAGAAATGTTAGAAAACTCCGTGATGTTTCCATACTGTATGGTAACGCTAAGTGAAAACACAGAAAATATTATCCAAATAAAAGAGTAAGTTAATAGTGATAAGTCGTAATCATAGTGTTAATGAAGATGTTACTCGTTTTTCACTAACCCTCATAATTAAACTTTTTTCCATTTTATAATAATTAATATAAAAAGTTTTAACAATATCTCCTAACAGATAGCACCACGTGTAATTTTATTTATTATACTGTAATTAATAATATAAAATTATCGGTTAATGTTTACCTAGGTAGTCCAAGATGGCCGCACAGTGGGGACCCACGTTCTAACCTAACCTAAGCTATTCTAATAAATTAAGAAAATTTTCCTTTCTTCATATAATTAACTTTTTGAGTTATTTTACATCTTACATTAGTAATTTTGTTAATTTATTAGAATAAGTTAGGTTAGGTTAGAACGTGGGTCCCCACTGTGCGGCCATCTTGGACTACCTAGGTAAACATTAACCAAATTATCTTTTAAATAAAATCTCATAATAACCAGAAAAGTTATGCAACTTGTTTGATTTTTTTTTTCTTTTCAAGTTGATGAGGCACGTATTCTTATCACATTGGTTGAAAAGCTGAGGGAGTGTTGACAAATTAATTATTGCAATAAGCTGCCATTTTTCAAATAGAAAAGATTGTTTTATTGTTTAATTTTCTAGTGTAATAATTTCTACCAATAATTTATATTATTTTCTAAACATTTTAAGCATATTTTACAACAAATTCTTTAATTTTTTTCCAGATTTATGACAACAAAAAATCCGCATTTAACATCTATTGAAAATGCTTTCGAATTGTACAAGTTAAGTAAAAAATATTCCATGAAAGAATTGCGGACATTCTGTACTACATACTTAAAAAACAATATAACTGCTTCCACAGCGTGTACAATTTACGATTTCGCTTGCGAAGAGAAAGATCGATATATTCAATTTTACTGTTGGATCGCATTCGACGATTACTGCGATCAAATTCTGGAATCCCAAGATTTCTATCGATGCCAGAGGACTACTATTAAAAGATTCGTTAGTCGTCCAATATATAGAACCTTAAAAGAAATAACACTATTTCGAGCTCTATACAAATGGGCTGAGGTAAAGCTGGATTCGATAGAATTCATGAATTCATCTGCAATCGATCGCGGTCGAAAAGTTCGCCAGTATTTATCGCCCTTCATTAATAAAATTCGTTTCTTAACCATGAACTTCGATGAATTACAAGAGGTTAGAAACTTAAATATTCTGTTTCCAGAAGAAATTCAATTTCTTTATGCATTTCAGAAAGGTGGAGATTTATCGGGTTTACCAGACACAATTTGTCCAATAACTACGAAAAGAATTAAACAGGATCATTGGAGATTGATCGATTATAAGTATCGATATCAATTAAATCAGCGTTTTAACTATTGGTCAGTTTTAAGACAGGACTTGATTTGTCGTTTCACTCCGAGAGAAAATTGTTATTTAAAAACGTTGATTCTTCCTGTTTCGTTGTATTGTTTCAGTATACCCGTGAGAACAACGATACAAGTGGGGACATATACTGTTAAGGATAATGAAATCTGCAATTGTTCTTTGGTTGGAGAAATTGCATTTGAGGAACCCATTTACGTGCCTAAAAATGTAGAAGCGTGCGTAATTTGTAAAATAGATGACGAACAACACAAATTGATAAAAGACAAACATAATTTGAAATGGGATTATTATATAATGAATTCTAAATATAAGGAAATGGGAAGAAAGAAAAACAATAGGTTAAATTATTATATAAAAGTTGGTGTATATTTTTAATAATAATCTGAAATATTTTAACTATATTTTATTTTATTTACATGTATACATGTCTTAAAAATTTCGACTATGTAAAGAATTACCTTGTTTTTGTTTTCTTGAATATCATTGACATAAAATTCCAATTCATTGGCAATTAATAAAGATCTTTTATGTGCAACATATTTTAATTGTATTGTTTTTTCCACCCCGTGGGCACTTAGAGGGCCATCTTGGATTTTGCCAAGCCCACAGTGGAGGGCCGATCGGTGAGGAACGAGACCCAACTTATCCGTGACGCAGGGTTGATCTTTGATTCAATTCTAGGTCCTACAGCACACCCAGTCGTCATGTAGTGTGAATTGTAACTTTATAGATCTGGAGGACATAGCTATAAAACATGGGTATAGAAGGGACCTAATACATAATTTAGCCCGCGCCTACTCCAACCAACAAGCCATGCCTACAACACCAACACCCAAGGAGTTTCCAACAGAGGTCAAGCATGCAACCGTAACTTCGGGTACACGGTGATAGAATATAACCAGTATTTATATGCCTTGTAATAAAAATTCTCTGACAATACAGATCAATACTTGCATACAAGAGAGCTCCCATGACGTATAAATTATTACGCAACGGGAAGGACAAGGCCGATAAACGTACAGCCCCAGGGGTGTACGGTGATCCTGTGAGTGACAACAGATTTAAAAGGGTTTAGTCCACCAAACCAAAAAAAAAATTCTAATTCTCAATACAGGTTTTGACACACGAAAAGTCAAGAAAAGGGGGAATACACATTATAGTGCTGTAAACATGGCACTTGTAATTACGTAAAACCTAATGTGCTACCGCTACGTCGATACCCAAAACAGGACTGCCACCACTAAGACCGTCAGGCCCCGTACGTAATTGTCGGATTCGGGATGGAGGAAGGGGTCAAGAGACACTTCTAGCATAAAGGGAATGAAAACCCAGGACTACTAAGAGGTATTGCCCGGGAGTGAAAATGTAGAAAACGTTGTTCTAGAGAAGGGGCGAAGGTGAAGTATAAACATATGAAAGGGGATGAAGAGGGAAGTCTCGTGGCCGTCTGCGTCGGTGTTTATTTATCACAGTAAAACAAAAAAATATAAAAGCTGTAGCTACTTTGCCACAGTATGAAAAACAGTATACACAATAATGCCCAGTGGTACATGGACTGCTATGTAAGCCAGATATAGAACATTATTTTTTAACATCGGATCAAAGTTAACAGTGAACTATTGTTTCAGAAGATAAGTGGCTTGATGCTATCTAAGATGACAATGTTGATTCCTGTAACATTTACAGAGAGAAATCAGCCCGTTGCGATTCTCCTCGATGAGGTATAACAATACAGTAGCCAATGGGAGGACAGACTTGGCCTACAACATCGGCCGATACACTACAACCCCTACCTGGGGTTTTACAAAACAGTCTGAAGTTAAGCAACCACAGAAGCCAAAACAGTAATGTACTACTCGTACATACCGTAATTTGGAAATTAATCGTTAGTCCTCTTGATAATCTTCTCTACTTCCTGTAGATAGATGGGACATCTTTTGTCCAGTGTGTTATGGTCATGATTTCCTCGCTTCTGTCGCACGCAGTTAGCACACGTTGCTATTTCTTCTTTCTTCTTGCAATTCTTAAACAGGTGAGCTTCGCCGCAGTGACTGCAGGTGTTCTTTTCCGATCGGCAATCCCTCGCAAAGTGTCCGAAGGCAAGACATTTATAACACCTCTTGACTAATATGTAATCAAACACGGGGCATCTTGTCCATCCTAAATTTATTTTTCCTTCCCTTTGCATTATTTCTCTCAAGTCTACTGCGACTTCAAGAACCCAGGACACGTATTCCGTATTTCTCTGATTTATCGGAAATTTTATTTTAATCCGTTCGTCGAATTCTTCTCTGGTGAGCTCACACGCAATTGGGAAGTTTTGCTCAAAGATGTTTTCCAACAATGACTCTTTAGTAATTGACTTGGGAACCGACACGATCTTTACCAACGGGAGATTCCTCTTCTTTTCAATTGTTTCAAACTCCTTTACCTTTGTTAAAGCTTCTGAGAGAATTGCCATGTCGTTCCAGCCACAAAGATCGATTGCTACTCCTCCGTTTTTTATCTTCCGAACTCGTTTTACCCCTATTCCTAGAGTTTTCGGTCTCACTTTACTTGTTAGTAGAGCTTTTGTTTGCTCAGAACTGCTCTCTTTATCTTTACTATATACGAGCACCGTATATTCCGGTTTAGACTGTAGATCTTTTTGAGGTTGTTTGTTGCCTTGTTTCAATACGTCACTGTAGCTTGGAACAGGGTTCTCTTTCTCAATTGGGGATTCAGTTGGTAAGGCTTTACTAAGTGTACTTATTTCCTCTTTTACATTTGAGATTGCCTCCATCGTTTTCTCATTTTGAAGAAGAGTCGCTTCTTGTAAATCCTGCTTAGTCGCGAGTGCATCTAATTTTCGCTCGAGTATATTCGAAATATCGTTATCTCTTAGCTTAGACTCGGCTAGATTTATTATTTTAGTTATCTGTTTTGTGATATACCTCATATGTTCCCTTGTACCCAATCTCCCGGTCGGGTTATCTACGAAATATCCCTTCACTTCGTCCAAAATCTCATACGCTTCGTCTAAAAAAGCTTCACTAATGCGTGTATCCATATCAATACAATTCGCTAGTAGAAAACGTAAATGACGTAAACACGTCGTAAAAACGACCTTGATATTGTTTACAAAACTTTAAAGACGACTGCCACAGCTGTCAACTGAACCCCTGTTGCTTTGGAACGGCCGTTATAAAAAGTCGTTGAAGTTGGTTCGTGGGAAACTGTACTTAATATCGCCGTAATTTAAATAATTTTAAAGATAAACCCACTAAACTTTGTCGAAATATCACTGAAGAAGTCCTTTAACTGATAATGGTGAAATTTTCTTCGGATGTACCACCATGAGCCCGCTGTGGCCCGCCGTAACCCGACCGTAATTTGCCGGGAAAAAAGTTCAATATCTCCCTAATTAATGGTCTTAGGACCACGAAAATTTAGGACAGTACTCACAATATGTATGCTGTAAAGATCCCGTCGTCGATTCCGGTCGAGCGAACTTGGCCTTCCGGAAAAATGGTCCCGAAGTTCGTTGATTTCGGTCGGCGATAACTCCCGAAAAAAAAAAGCCCTAAGTTGTCAATCTCGACGTCGTCGCAATCCTCATAAAATGCGGTTTCCGAAAATATATCGCATCACATAATACAAGTAAAATCCTGGGTCAAACTACGCGTGAAGAAGGAGCCAAACACCACACGTCCTCATTGCTCGACGACTCGACCCACTCACAAACGAACAAAGAGAAGACCCACGTGTTGTCGGGCGCTCAGGGACTAATGGACTCCCGCTTTTAACAAAATTAATAGTTTATTTAACGAACATATTTTACACGAGAATTTATTTCGAATCGCACAGGAAAGAGAGATTTTACAACGCTGGTAAATACCTTTATGGTTTGCTCTGTTAAGCAAACTACTCCTTTATTCCATACTATGTGGACTCGACTATAAAATTAGAATTCTGAAGAAGTTCTTATTTGAAGTAAAAATATTAAATGAGAGAAAATAAAGAAATTCTCAGAGGGAACTCATTTCCCCACTTATTTGTAGGAAATCAAAGGACAATACACATCACAGAATTTCTTTTTATGAGACTCGAACCCATATCATCCAGTCATACTGGTTCTCATTGTTAGAGCGTTACCACTGCTCCACCAACCACCACGATAGAAATTTTTTGTTTTTATATATAACTATAAGAGATATCTAAGCACTTGAAATAATAAATTTCTTACTACTTACACGAATCTCAATGTATATTATTTTGTAACGGCAACATCATGGTAACATTTCATACGTTAATTTTTATTTTGATCTTGATATCTTGGCATCTTGATATAATAATAATGATGTCATTTGTCACATACTTTGATATTTCTTTATTTTTAACATTTTTAAACAAACAAAGTCTATATTATTTTCTGAATATGCTGTTGATAAAATGGATAGGCCTACCAAAAAATTTTATCCCTTTAGATCCTTTGCCTCACACCACTAAGATCCTGATCTGGGGTTTCGCTGTAAGATGTCGGGGGCATGCTTTTAATAAAGCTTTTGTATTGCCAGTGATGATGAGTAGTAGCGTAGTGTTAGCGGTAGTGTTGGTTGGTTTAGGGTCCATTCGTATCGTTTGTTCGATAAGCCAGTAAAAACCGCAGACTTCTCTAAACGTATTTTTAATATTACAATTGCATTCCGAATCGCTAACCACGATATAAGGGCTACAATTAAAAATAAAATAATAAAAACTTGGTGAGATAAAATATGTGGTGGATTTACATTCCTGGTACGAAATATTCTTCAATTGTACGAATATACTTTTAAAGAAAATTATAATTAAATATAGCTTTGTAAAGAAACGTACATAAAAATATAAAATATTCTTTACTTTTTAAATATTAAAACAATGCACTTAATCAAATAACTCCCTACGAGTGGCTAATGGATGGAATCAGGGACGGTTGTAGGGCGTGCATACACCAAATCCCCAGGGTGCCGATACCAGTCAACGTCAAATACCTCTTTTGTCGCATCACTAGTATATCTGAAAGGACGCGACAGGGTTGCTGTAGATTTTAAACGTTTCTCATCGTAGTTGTAAATATCTACATATTGTTAAACTTAATAGTACTTTGTTTTCCAACTAATTCGTTTTAGGACCAGGTGTTGTCCACGGAAATTTCCAAAATTTACACGTTTTCGGTCACTCTCATTGAACTCGAAAAATTTCTCTCTTTATTACGTCTAATATTAAGAAGAAATCAGTCTCCACTGTACTCGGCTAGAGATTGGTTCGGTTAAGCTTTTGTTTAAGTAATAATCGGCTCTTTCAGCAGGGTTTTATTTGTGTCCCCAATTCCCTAATTGCTTAATTATTTAACTACTTCTTAAGTAGAAATAAGTCGAAACCGGTTACTTTATACTCAAATATTTGTAGTCTCGGGAAAAAAGTGGAAAGACAAATTTTTATGACAATACATAAATTGTAAATTTAAGGAAAATAAATTCTAGAGCCTTTTCTGTACCTGGTGCATCTCTCTCATTCATTAAATTTAAAATGATGCTGTCAAAGTAACGGTTAATTTTTTAATATTACACAAGAATTGTACACGCTTTTTTCTGCATCCCCTTAAAGATGGGACGTACGAAATCGTAATATCACTGGTTTAACATTGAAATCCGTAAGTAATACAAGATGGGAGACATACATAATACGGTTATAATAAAATATTAATTTTAATTAATCCAAAATACGTTTAAAATATGAAAATAATCGCGGAATATGTATTTATTTTTTAGAAAATACAAAAGAAGCGGCGCTTCCACTGCTTCCAATGACAGCACGCCGCTGAATATTACTGTATTAACATCAACCTTTTATCTAGAATCAGTAGAAAATTGTCGAAATATTTTTCTAGTTAATTATGTTATATTATTTTTTAATAAAGATGGTAAAATATTATTTAAAATATCGATTCTCGACAGCAAGAAAATCGCAGTAAAACGTATCAAAAAAGTTTTTTCTAATTAATTTTAAAAATCAAAGATCCCAAGTAAACTTTCTCTGATTGGCCACAGTCGTTTTCGTTATTCTCCAAAATTTTATAAATAGAAAATTAATTAATATTTGCATAATAAATTTTACTCTTTGTATAACGTCAAACACAATAACGAAACAATCATTTATATTTTGGCTGATTTTTATTGTTTATAAAATAACAAAGCAGTTATAATACTGTGGATAAGTGCTTTTATTGTAAAATTTTAGAAAGACTTTTCTCATTTTTCAATAATTCCAATTAAAGCCGAGACAATTGGGAAACTTCACCGAAACTATTATTACTGAAGTAAGTATTTAGATATTTCTTTATAGAAATGACTGAAACATCTGAAGTGCACTTATCTGCAATTCCAATTGTGAATATACAGCGGGTAGTATTAAGATTTAAGTGGTTAAACCTTACTCAAATTAAAATTTCCATCTTAGATTTAAAACGGCACCGTTTTAATGGAACTGATTTCAAGACATCGGGTATTCCAAGCCAGTCCTGTATTTAAAGAAATATTAAAAAACTGTATGATATTATCATACACTATGCTTACGCTAAGTGAAAATGTAGAAAAATTTATCCAAATAAAACAGTAAGTTAATAGTGGTAAGTCATAATCATAGTGTATGTGGGGGAGAGAACGATTTTGTTCACCCACTTCGAAGCTCGATAACTTCTGTTCCTTTTATCGAAAAGTTCTGAAATTTTGCAGGGAAGTTTTGTATATCAGGAGGATTGATGATATTAATTTTGGTGGTTAAAGGTCCAGGAGGTGGGGAGATAGAGAAGCGTGCCATATCTAGAGTGGAGTATGGCGTTACCACAGTTTTTAATTAATTTCTTTGCCGGGAAGGTTACACAACTCGTTAATGGACTTTCTCTTCTTGAGACGGAAAATATTTTTTCGATCATAATTCTTTAGAGTAACATGCTTCGAAACACATTAAACTTGGATGCTGTAATATTGATCTTTGTCTACTTTACCTACTTCACTGCAGAGGTTTCCGAGCAGGCTACCGTTTACGGACACTACGGTCCTCCAAACTGTCACCTTCTCTAAATTTTCCTTTCTCTGTGACAATGCAATGGATTTCTTACTTTAAAACGTTAAAAATTTTCGCCTTGCACCACTTATTTCACCATAGCTACATCCCTCTTCGGAATAATGTACAGTACAGTACACCCCAAATTTTCGGCGGTATAATATGAAATGATATCAACTATTAAAGAGTTTTTGCTAAGTATAAAATCAAATATCATTTTAATTTCAGCACATGGTAATCGACACGTGCATAAAAGCAGCAAAATTTTAAATCGTTTCCATAGGCCTCTGTGTTTAGTACGAGCTATAATAATGGATTTAACGTCACAATACAAATTTATTTGTTAGCAGTTCTAGGTATTCTCAATGTACTACGATTCCATTTTCTACTGGTCGAGTTGCCTATCTTGGCATAATAGATTTTTTACTCTAAAGGCGTAGTAAAGGTATTTAAGATCTTATATACATTTACTATGAAGCTATCTGGTCGAGATTGAATTCCACATAAATGAATATTTAATTTTATGTGAAATTTTATAACTAATTAAAAGAATATTTAAACTTTTAATGACTTCTCTAATGAAGATTACTCATTAAAAATTTTATAATTATTACAATAAGCTGACATTTTGGATGGTTTTCTTTATTTTTACTTTAAAAATAATTAGAAGAAATAATATTTTAGATTATTATAAGCTAAATTGGATATTTTTATAACTCAAATTGGTTTTTTTTTTCAGATTTATAACGACAAATAATCCGCATTTGACATCTATTGAAAATGCTTTCGAATTATACAAGATAAGTAAAAAATATTCCATGAAAGCATTGCGGACATTCTGTACTACATACTTAAAAAACAATATAAATGCTTTCACAGCGTGTACAATTTACGATTTCGCTTGCGAAGAGAAAGATCGATATATTCAATATTACTGTTGGATCGCATTCGACGATTACTGCGATCAAATTCTGGAATCCCAAGAATTCTATCGATGCCAGAGGACTACTATTAAAAGATTCGTTAGTCGTCCAATATATAGAACCTATTGTTAAACTTAATAGTACTTTGTTTTCCAACTAATTCGTTTTAGGACCAGGTGTTGTCCACGGAAATTTCCAAAATTTACACGTTTTCGGTCACTCTCATTGAACTCGAAAAATTTCTGTCTTTATTACGTCTAATATTAAGAAGAAATCAGTCTCCACTGTACTCGGCTAGAGATTGGTTCGGTTAAGCTTTTGTTTAAGTAATAATCGGCTCTTTCAGCAGGGTTTTATTTGTGTCCCCAATTCCCTAATTGCTTAATTATTTAACTACTTCTTAAGTAGAAATAAGTCGAAACCGGTTACTTTATACTCAAATATTTGTAGTCTCGGGAAAAAAGTGGAAAGACAAATTTTTATGACAATACATAAATTGTAAATTTAAGGAAAATAAATTCTAGAGCCTTTTCTGTACCTGGTGCATCTCTCTCATTCATTAAATTTAAAATGATGCTGTCAAAGTAACGGTTAATTTTTTAATATTACACAAGAATTGTACACGCTTTTTTCTGCATCCCCTTAAAGATGGGACGTACGAAATCGTAATATCACTGGTTTAACATTGAAATCCGTAAGTAATACAAGATGGGAGACATACATAATACGGTTATAATAAAATATTAATTTTAATTAATCCAAAATACGTTTAAAATATGAAAATAATCGCGGAATATGTATTTATTTTTTAGAAAATACAAAAGAAGCGGCGCTTCCACTGCTTCCAATGACAGCACGCCGCTGAATATTACTGTATTAACATCAACCTTTTATCTAGAATCAGTAGAAAATTGTCGAAATATTTTTCTAGTTAATTATGTTATATTATTTTTTAATAAAGATGGTAAAATATTATTTAAAATATCGATTCTCGACAGCAAGAAAATCGCAGTAAAACGTATCAAAAAAGTTTTTTCTAATTAATTTTAAAAATCAAAGATCCCAAGTAAACTTTCTCTGATTGGCCACAGTCGTTTTCGTTATTCTCCAAAATTTTATAAATAGAAAATTAATTAATATTTGCATAATAAATTTTACTCTTTGTATAACGTCAAACACAATAACGAAACAATCATTTATATTTTGGCTGATTTTTATTGTTTATAAAATAACAAAGCAGTTATAATACTGTGGATAAGTGCTTTTATTGTAAAATTTTAGAAAGACTTTTCTCATTTTTCAATAATTCCAATTAAAGCCGAGACAATTGGGAAACTTCACCGAAACTATTATTACTGAAGTAAGTATTTAGATATTTCTTTATAGAAATGACTGAAACATCTGAAGTGCACTTATCTGCAATTCCAATTGTGAATATACAGCGGGTAGTATTAAGATTTAAGTGGTTAAACCTTACTCAAATTAAAATTTCCATCTTAGATTTAAAACGGCACCGTTTTAATGGAACTGATTTCAAGACATCGGGTATTCCAAGCCAGTCCTGTATTTAAAGAAATATTAAAAAACTGTATGATATTATCATACACTATGCTTACGCTAAGTGAAAATGTAGAAAAATTTATCCAAATAAAACAGTAAGTTAATAGTGGTAAGTCATAATCATAGTGTATGTGGGGGAGAGAACGATTTTGTTCACCCACTTCGAAGCTCGATAACTTCTGTTCCTTTTATCGAAAAGTTCTGAAATTTTGCAGGGAAGTTTTGTATATCAGGAGGATTGATGATATTAATTTTGGTGGTTAAAGGTCCAGGAGGTGGGGAGATAGAGAAGCGTGCCATATCTAGAGTGGAGTATGGCGTTACCACAGTTTTTAATTAATTTCTTTGCCGGGAAGGTTACACAACTCGTTAATGGACTTTCTCTTCTTGAGACGGAAAATATTTTTTCGATCATAATTCTTTAGAGTAACATGCTTCGAAACACATTAAACTTGGATGCTGTAATATTGATCTTTGTCTACTTTACCTACTTCACTGCAGAGGTTTCCGAGCAGGCTACCGTTTACGGACACTACGGTCCTCCAAACTGTCACCTTCTCTAAATTTTCCTTTCTCTGTGACAATGCAATGGATTTCTTACTTTAAAACGTTAAAAATTTTCGCCTTGCACCACTTATTTCACCATAGCTACATCCCTCTTCGGAATAATGTACAGTACAGTACACCCCAAATTTTCGGCGGTATAATATGAAATGATATCAACTATTAAAGAGTTTTTGCTAAGTATAAAATCAAATATCATTTTAATTTCAGCACATGGTAATCGACACGTGCATAAAAGCAGCAAAATTTTAAATCGTTTCCATAGGCCTCTGTGTTTAGTACGAGCTATAATAATGGATTTAACGTCACAATACAAATTTATTTGTTAGCAGTTCTAGGTATTCTCAATGTACTACGATTCCATTTTCTACTGGTCGAGTTGCCTATCTTGGCATAATAGATTTTTTACTCTAAAGGCGTAGTAAAGGTATTTAAGATCTTATATACATTTACTATGAAGCTATCTGGTCGAGATTGAATTCCACATAAATGAATATTTAATTTTATGTGAAATTTTATAACTAATTAAAAGAATATTTAAACTTTTAATGACTTCTCTAATGAAGATTACTCATTAAAAATTTTATAATTATTACAATAAGCTGACATTTTGGATGGTTTTCTTTATTTTTACTTTAAAAATAATTAGAAGAAATAATATTTTAGATTATTATAAGCTAAATTGGATATTTTTATAACTCAAATTGGTTTTTTTTTTCAGATTTATAACGACAAATAATCCGCATTTGACATCTATTGAAAATGCTTTCGAATTATACAAGATAAGTAAAAAATATTCCATGAAAGCATTGCGGACATTCTGTACTACATACTTAAAAAACAATATAAATGCTTTCACAGCGTGTACAATTTACGATTTCGCTTGCGAAGAGAAAGATCGATATATTCAATATTACTGTTGGATCGCATTCGACGATTACTGCGATCAAATTCTGGAATCCCAAGAATTCTATCGATGCCAGAGGACTACTATTAAAAGATTCGTTAGTCGTCCAATATATAGAACCTTAAAAGAAATAACACTATTTCGAGCTCTATACAAATGGGCTGAGGTAAAGCTGGATTCGATAGAATTCATGAATTCATCTGCAATCGATCGCGGTCGAAAAGTTCGCCAGTATTTATCGCCCTTCATTAATAAAATTCGTTTCTTAACCATGAACTTCGATGAATTACAAGAGGTTAGAAACTTAAATATTCTGTTTCCAGAAGAAATTCAATTTCTTTATGCATTTCAGAAAGGTGGAGATTTATCGGGTTTACCAGACACAGTTTGTCCAATAACTACGAAAAGAATTAAACAGGATCATTGGGGATTGATCGATTATAAGAATCGACGTCGATTAGATTGTCCGGTTTTCTATAAATTCGTTCTAAGAGAAAATTTGATTTGTCGTTTCATTCCGAAAGAAAATTGTTATTTGTTAACGTTGATTCTTCCTGTTTCGTTAAAATCTTCCTCTTCCAGTAAACCATTGAGAACAACAATACCGGTGAGAACAACGATACAAGTGGGAACGAATATCGTTAAGGATAAAGAAATGTGCGATTGCTCGGAAATTGGAGAAATCACGCTTGAGGAACCGATCTACTTGCCCAAAAATATAGAAACGTGCATAATTTGCGAAATAGATGATGAACAACTCGAATCTATAATGTACATATATCCATTAAACTGGGATTATTATCTAACAGATTTTGAATATAAAGAACTACAATTAGCAGCGAGAAGAGACGTTCGGATAAAATATTATATATATGTTGACGTTTATTTTTAATTAATAATAATTGAAATAATATTTTAAAAATTTTAAATATTAATGTAAATAGTGAATACATTGTTTTTATATATATATTTTTTGATATCATTGACGTGAAATTCCAATTCGTTGGCAATTAATAAAATTTTATACCCTGAAATTTTCAGAATTTTAATAGTGCTTTTATCCCTTTCTCTTTCTNTATATGTTGACGTTTATTTTTAATTAATAATAATTGAAATAATATTTTAAAAATTTTAAATATTAATGTAAATAGTGAATACATTGTTTTTATATATATATTTTTTGATATCATTGACGTGAAATTCCAATTCGTTGGCAATTAATAAAATCTTATACCCTGAAATTTTCAGAATTTTAATAGTGCTTTTATCCCTTTCTCTTTCTTTCTGTGGGGACTAACTTGTAAGAGGACCTTTAAACTTGTCGCAATGGATTTTATGAACACTAGCACAGTGTAGTTAGTGTTCACAAGCTTACGGAATTAGAATTAGACTTTGCAGATAACATTGTTCTTCTGTTGGAAACAAAGGAACATCTGCAATGGCTTCAAGCAACAAAGGAGTAACTGCAACCAGCTCGATAACGTGTCCAGGAAAGTATGATTAAAGGTTAACATTGACAAAACAAGAATATATAAATCAACAACACCAACCCTTCTGATCAAATTTTTGTTCCATATATTATGTATTTGAAATAATCGCAATTAATTTCCTTCTTTAAAACGAAAGGAAAAAGTATCATCGAAAGGAGAAAAGAAATTCTCAGATTAAGTTCTCCACAGGAATCTGTAGGATAATTGACTGGAAGTAATAAACATCACAGAATTTCTTTAAGTGGGATTCGAACACCCAACCTATCGCATAAGCAACCTAGAACGTTACCGTTGCTCCAGAAACCTCCGTGGGTCTTTTGTTTTAAACACAGTGTTTATAAATTGGTGTAGCGCCATCTGTTACGAGATTTTATCATAAAATTTTCTTATATTATTGTTATAAAATGGCAAAATGTTTACCTGAACGTAGAGACGAGTTTTATATAATATAAAAGGAAAAGAAATTCTCAGTTTATGTTATTTTCCCCCTGTGTTTGTAGGAAATTAAGCGGGAGACATCATAGAATTTCTTTTAGAGACCGAACCCACGACATAATGGTTAGCGTTACCACTACACCACGAGCACCCATGAACAAGACTTTTTTATTCTCTTACTTAATGTTAGCCTAGTAAAAAGTAAGCAATTTAAACATTTATAAAGTTTAAATCCAAAATACTGTACAATCAATAGGTATTTCATCACAACTATTTACAATTAGCAATGCGTAAACATCTGTATTTTTATATATTGTAAAGTCTTTGTAAATCCGCACTTAAAATGTAAATTTTAATATTGGCGGTAGACTATCACACAGCTTTAGACTATCACACAGATGATAACCCATATGAAAAAATAAAAAGAGAACTCACGAAAATCATAAAGGATATATATTCTAAAAACAACATTAATGAAGAAAATAAAAATAAAATATTAAACTTTAATAACAATAGAACCCCTAAATTAAATATCCGCCTAAAAACACACAAACAATTAGAACAATATAGACCTTTAGTAGACTTTCGTAANTTTAAACATTTATAAAGTTTAAATCCAAAATACTGTACAATCAATAGGTATTTCATCACAACTATTTACAATTAGCAATGCGTAAACATCTGTATTTTTATTTAACAAATAGTACTATGATATTTTTACATATAAACGATTATTAAATGAATTAATAAGATAAACATTTCAGTGTTTCTAGACAAAACAATCACGTTTCTTCTTGTAAATCTTCGTCTCCAGTCAATTGTTTCTGACATTCTTTCATAATAACCTTCGCTTCTTCCGTTAAATGTTGGTCGTTACATAATTTTATAAGTTCATCTAACTTCTTTATATCGTACACAATGACGAATTTCAAACACGATCTGATAGTTCCTGCAAAATGTAAAACTGTCAACTTTACTTTTAATCCATTTATTTTATTCACGAAAGGTAAGGTGGAAGCTACGAAAGGATGACATTCTCTATGCACTCTCAATATGAAAAGTCTCGTTAGAGGATTAAACATTTTGATAGTCATTCCGTAAATACAACTTCCAAGTCCATAATCTCCATGAAACCTTTGAAGAACTTCTTTAACGGCTTCGAAAATATTTCTCCCATTTATAGGGAGACAAGTTGTCTCAGAAATTTTATCTAAAGTTGATATTTCTGTTACAAAATAACGATTTTTGATACGAACCATCTTAACATCTCACCATCCTCCACGTGTTTTTATCGTATCTCTCTATGTTTAAGTGTTGCCAGGATTGTTAAATTATTACTATTAAATTCGCCAAAAAACCGCCAACATTAAAAAAGAGCGCGGTCAGTAATTTTAATTAATAAATGTGTGCGATATAACTGTATAAAAACATAAAATTTTCTTTAGTGTTAATGTTCGTTTTGAATTAAATTTTGTACTTGATAAGCAGTAATATACTTTTTTTTTACTCGTTCCGCCCGTAGATATTAAAACGGTTTTGTTTTTTTTTTTAGTAAGCCGATTATGATTTCTGACAGGCTAATAATGGAAATGAGGGACAGAGTCCGATACATCTAAAACGGATCACTTCCCGAAAGATTTCTGTGATTTTTTTAACCGGTTAGAATTCGATCACTGGTGACATAGAGCGGTAGGCTTGATACTGTACCTTAACCGTTCAGTCATCCGTTTATCGTGCATTAACGTACTATTATTAATTTTTTCTTGCTTTGCCCTGTGATTCCGTAAATAAAAGATGTTTTTGGTGCATTTTCGGATTTAATTTATCGCCATTTGAAAAGTTTGGTTGGCAACGTGCTACAAATATAAGCAAATTTTCTCTGGCAACACTGTTCCTGGCATCCATTTAAGAAGTTGGATTGTTGAGCGTGTTATACACATCCAAAATGGTGAGTTGTTTTTCTGTATTTTATATCGTTTCAATCCTACTTTATTCAATGCTAAATCGATGTTAAATATATATAATTCGTTAGTAGATTTAATATATTTTGTTATGTCGTATATATTGTAGAGTTTTAAGACCAAATTTTTTTCCAATATGAATCCTAAACCGAGATAAATTGTATTATCAAAAGGTCCACCAAGTGTAATTTTTATATCTAAGAGAATTTAATTTATTTGTATAAAATAACAATTATAGCTTGGTAAGGTGTGCAGATGATGATACTAAATAGTAGTCTGATAGTATGTATATTATTAATTACACTACTATGATTACAAAGTTAATACTGAATTGAACATTACTATTTTATAATTAAAACACTGTGCTTCTGTTATTTCTAAACTGAAGGATTTTACCACAATACAAGAATTGTGAACATTACCGTTTTGTTTAACTGAACACCAATGGACTTGGGTACCATTGACGATACTTTACTATTGTTAACACCATCATTTGCCGATATTATCTTGATACTGGCTTGTATTTTTTACAAAAAAATACAAGCCATAACAAACATAAACTCTCCTTTATAACAGTTTTATAAAGGGGAGTGAGTTTATGTAAATTAGTTTTTGTAGTTCTAGTACAGTGAAGTTCATAAGTGCTGAAGAGAGAAGTTAAGATGGTTGCCATCATAAATTATACTAATGTACTGTGTACTGTTCCTTGAATGAAAATTGTGACATATAAAAATCCATTTTAAACTGGTTATTGGAAAAATTTGAAATGCAATTTTTCACATAAACTTCTATTCAGACATAAATATCTTCAGATTTATTAGTAATGGTGAATGTACATGTTCTATTGTTGTTTACCTTACAGTTAATTACATTTTCTTGATTGGCTGCCTCCGATATTTTATAGTCTCTGTGACAATTCTGTGTCGTTTCTGACTAAACATTTTTATTTGTATAAAGCAATGTATACAAAGAGCCAAACAACACTGCTTAGTAGCTGAGGTGTAGAAGTGTTTTCTATGAAATTGCTCTCCAGCAGCTTAAGTGAAGTAGCTTTACTAGGAAACTTGCCCAATGATTTACCATCCTGGATTATGAAAGCCTATTTTTATTGATTAAAACACAGCAATAACTCTGAAGAAGCATCATAGCTGTAATAAATACATTATTCCCTCACACCAATTTAAGGTTGCTATAGACTACATTCTAAACAATTTTTATTTCGTATGGGAGGACAGATTTTATTTTTAAATAAGGTCCCAATGAAATCATATGTCTAGTGACATTATGGAGCTAGTTCTAAGATGGGTAGAGGATCCTTGTATTAAAGCAAGTAACAATATCAAATTCATCTCAATTTGTAGACAATATGCAACATGCTTACAATTTGAAAAGACCAGTACAAAGTAAATAACCTTATTAACAAGAATGTGGTGGGCATAAAACTGGCAGTTTCAAGTTGTAGCATATCCCAGGGTTGATTTCCCAGATATGACAATTTGTAATTGCTTATTAAAGTACAATAAACCTAAGATTGAAGATTTGTATATTCACTGACAGTTCAACAATACAATCTACCAGAAATTAGGCTGCGTTAATACTACTGACAACAATGACCACAAATCCTAAATGATAACAACTGTGTGTTTTTTGTCATACTTGTTCCTCACCAAAATATTCATATTGCTCATTATTTTTCATCTTGGAACATCTACAATTTACATTAGGCTTAGTGTTATTCCATGGTTTTCTGTGCTTTTAGACCAGAATCTTCTGTTTTAAAATTGGATATGAAGAGTGAAATTATAATTTTTCTGTGTTAACAGTAGAATTTATTCAGGTGGAGCATTAGCAAAGCCTTATGTAAGCAAAAATTCTGTAAGCCGTGTGGCTTACAGAATTGTGTTCATTCTCAAAATCTGTTTGATCAATTTTGATTAAACTTTGCCATTTTCCATTAATTGCAGTGAGGAATTAAAAAAATATGAGGGTCTGTTTAAATGTGAAGAACAGATGAGTCTATGAATTTCTTTTTGATATACAGATGTATTAAAGTGACAATATCCATGCTCTATGATGCGACTGGGTGCATCTAATAGGCCAAGGTGTCAAAAATAAAATAAGCATTGCATGCGCATAATGAAAATTGTGTGTGAAAACAAAGCAATCTGTGATGATTGTTTTGTTGTTGGATCACCTATCCATGTCAGCAAGTGCTAGCAAAGATCACGTGTCTCATGGCCAGCAGATACAAGGATCTTCTTTTCTTTGCCTAACAAATGCAGGAATTGCTTCTTTCTTTCTGGCTCTGCCTCATTTCTATCATGATATGACAGTCACACAATGTCCTGGTTATTTTTGTTATAGAAAATATCAAAATGCCATTGGTGAATCATAGCTCTTCGTATTGAGAGAAAAACACAAGGGGAGATTCCATGCATTGGCATAGGAATTATGATTAAAAGACATCGAAGGATTTTTTAAACTATTTTTGTATGTTACCAAATATTTTTGACCATCTATTGAGCTCTGTAGGTCCTCTTCAGCACAAGAGATTTGTGGGAAGTTCATATTGATTGGCCAGTACGATTATGACAATGACAAATGTTGAATCTTGGTTAACTTTCAAACAACGAATGACTAAAATGAAAGAGCAGTGGGAATGACTAGTTTGAACATTTTATAGAAAAAGATGAATGATGAAAACACATTTTTGTGATCATCATCATCAGCACTGTTAATGCTGTCTTAACTGCTTTGAAAACCTTAGTGATAAAATACTCCTCAAACCTTTTAACCAGAGTGCTTCTATTTTTAGAATTGCGAACGTTTTCATTGCTCCTCTTCAGACTTTACTGAATAGGCCTTTACTGTTCAAATAAACATTCGATATGAATTTCTTCAGAACACTATCATGTGAAATCGTTCTGTAGTTGTATTGCTCATGCTCCATAATCATCTCTTTAAATGCTGTTATCCAGCAAAATCTGCCATGCTACAGATAGGGCCATTTCCTCCTTAATACGTATACTATTTATTCCTGCCTTAAATATCTCCATGGCTTCTAGCCATTTTAGTTGTTGTGGGTTGGAGTTGGTTATAATGATTTTCGCCGCGTGCAAGTCCGCCATTATTTCCTGTTCCGAAGCGTATGTTGCTAGAGCTGTTGTTTCTACCATGCTGTATGTCTGACCTGTGTTCTTTTAATCTCACTTTTAACGAACATTTTGTGGAACCAATATATGACGGTTGTCTATCGCACCTGTTGTCTTCTAGCGGTACTGTGTATACTCTTGGAAGCTTTTCAGGGTTTGGTAGGTCTTTGCCATTAGTTAGTATCCTGAAGACAGTTTGACATCTTCTGTATGCAATATTTAAGCCTCATCGTTTGGCTACCATGTTGTAGATTGATTTCAGTATTGGATTATATGTGATAGGTATCCTCTTTTTTTCTTCCTCACTTATATTCAATGGTGGCCCTGTCTTATCAATGGCTTTTTAAGAAACTTCATGTCTTTTAGACAAATTTTTGACTAGAGTGTTGTATCCATGGGCTACAGCAATATTTTCTATATGTTGGAGTTCCATTGCTAGAGCTTGTTGCATCGAGGAGTGCGTGTGTGCTTTTCTCACTAATGCTCGGAAAGTGGCGATTTTGTATGGGATAAGATTGCATGAATTTCTTGTAATATATGTGGGGAAGGTACTAGGTTTCCGGTATACAGATGTATGTATGTTATCTCCTTCAAAGTTGATATCAACGTCCAAGAAATGCACCCTTGAAGAGTCATGTTGCTCTACTTCTAATGATAGCCCATGTGGATTATTGTTCATGGCTTCTAGGAAGAGTTTTATGTCTGGTTCCACCTTCCAAAATATAATGATGTCATCAATAACAACAAAATATTGTGCAAGAAGCATGGTAGAACATTGTTTTCTAATCTGCTGATTACCATTTCTCACAAATTGCCCAACACCAGAACCCAAAACCCAATGGGACTCCTTTGCCTTTCATGTACGTGTTCCTATTAAATTGGAAAAGAGAGCTATAGCATAACATTCAAGAATCTACTGGTGCATTGTGGTGTCCTCAACTATTGAAAACAGATAGCCCCTGGGCTCACAAAAACAAGGTGTTAAGGATATTTACTGGTGTTGTAACGAATAGTATACCGCTGTCACTACGCTTTGCCAATCGTGTTAATTCTTGGCAGTTGTAGAGGACAGACAAGAATGTCATGGAAGTATGTGATAAATGATGATATCAAATGTGGATAACAATGAAATGACCTACACATGTAAATAACGGGAAAAAAAACAGAGAAGGGCCGCGAAATGAAAATGTGAAAATAAATATGAAATTGAGTTTATAACATAATCGAACAAGTCAAGGCAGCTTATTGGCACGAAATTCGCGCCCGTCAACGCCAAACAATTGTTGTCATAGACTTTGGAAAGCTAAATGCTTGTAATGAAAGTCACCTAGTGTGCACGGGCAGAAGCCTGGGGCTGTTCGGGCTATCAAGCTGTCTCAAATCTGTGAAATCATAACTGTGACTTATATCGACATCCTATCTGTCTCTTTTCTCCGTTATCACCAGGCTGAGTCACGTAATTGTAAAATGGGAACTCTACGACGGAAAAGTGACAAATCAAAAGTATCGTGAGCGCGTATTATGATGTATGCACAGGCATACATGGGTTAGAGCGATAGAGAAAAGAGAAAGGAAAGAGCAAAGACGAGCACTTAAAAAAAAGATAGGCAGGGTCAGACCCTCAGATGGATTCTCCAATGATAGACGTGTACGTGTGCTGATCCTTGTAATTATAAATTGTGAATACATGTGACTAATATTATTTTCTTTTTTATTTTGTGCAAGTTACAAGTTATAAATAAATATAAACAAACAACACTAACTCGATAACATTAAATCTAAATACCAAAACGATTAATTTACTGTGTTTTTGTTATTTATGACTCCTGTTTTTAGGTATTCGGTATTCGGCCGAATAGTGAAAAATACGCCGAATACCGAATAGTAACCGAATATTCGTTACATCACTAATATTTACCCTATCCTCTAAAGTCAAAGACAGTTGTGTAGGATTAAATCAATTGCTACATATAATAACTTTCCAGTAAACACTGTTAACAGCATTAGAAAAGGAAAAAGAAACATGCAAAATATATTGCTGGAACATTAAAATAATAATAGCATTTCACAACAACTGTTGGCAAAACTATGGTCCAACTAGAAGCACTCTTAAATGAAATGTTTAAATTATGATCTAGCTGTGACCGTAGGGTCGGTGTCTCTTTGACACCACATCAGGATGTGACACCACCGAGTCTCACAGGACTCGAAAATTGCGACTTTACGTCACGCAAGCAGTAACGGGTGAGGGGTTGGATTCGGAGTAGAGGTGAGGAGAGAGATGAGGAAGTGACTCACTCGGACTCCATAGTAACAAATAAATAACAATTTTAAATATAACAAAAGAAAATACAGATATATTCGATTTCTGTCATTGCCCCTAATTATACTAGGCCGTTCGAGAGAGAGAGTTTACAAACGAATCGCGGGTTGATAAATACCTTTCTTTTAGGTCGAAGATCTGTAGTATGATGACACTGCCAATGGAATGTTCGCTCAAAATAGTTCTGGGTCTTGTCTGTAAACAGGAGCCTGGAGGTGTGAAGGCACTGATGTGGGGGTGATATCCTTAGTGAGGCATGATCTTTGTCACGGGTTGAATTCTGTATTCTTGGTCACGGTATTAATCCTTCAGGACGACTTTGGTGGAACGGACTTTGGAAGACGACTGACTTCGAGTGTTTTTTCTGTTTTCTCTTGTTATTCCTCTTGGGGTTTTTCCATGAGGTCAGGTGGTTGTTGTTAATGGTCTGGCATCCAATATGGGCACTCTATCGAAAGTTCCGGGTGACACATCACTGACTAGCTGGATCCTCCTGAACAAGGAACCAACTCCGTGGGAAATAAATTTTTATGGCTTTTAGCCTAACGCTCTAATTTAGATGATGGAATGTTTCAATAATTAAAATTTAAAATAACACTATTGTGGGTCTGTTCGTCCGTCACATAGCTATTAAGAGATTGCCTAACATTATGGATACTCTGTGCTGGGGCAAACCACAAGCAAGTGCAGTAAAATCAGCAATATATGCAGTTAAACTTAAAAAGAATAATTCATTTTTCTTTTACATAAGGTCTACATTAGATTCATTAAAACAATAGTGCATGAACATAAACTTTCCATCACATAGGGCCCAAACAGTGCTTACAAACTGGGTGTGTAATAAAGATATGGAAGTATTTTGTGACAGTCATTCTCATTAAAGAAGGTAAAAATAATCCATTAGGATTTTACAACAAAGTCTACACATCTTAATGTAATAACCCTGAATGCTACATGGCTACCTTTAATAAATAAATAAATACAATAGATATTACAAATATCATTAAAAATCTAGTAAAGAATTTATGCTAATTTATGATTCATTTCATACCAGCTTCTTTATTTTCTTTTATATATTTTATCTTCCAAATACAGTCAAACTCTGGTTATAACAAACGTGGATATGATGAGTTCACGATTATTACAAGCAAAATGATGTAACAATTTTAATTTTTCTGTATTTCCATACATTTTCTCATGGTTATCACAAGCATATACCAAGCAAATTTTTGATAGCTATGCAAACATTCTTAAATAATTGTTCAAATAGTAAGAAATGTGAAAACTGAAAAGGGTTAATTTTTGTAACCCTTTATAATTAATTTTATGACCTGCATGGATTACAGGCCTATTTATCACTTAACTTTTGGAGACCATCCCCTTCTTTCTTGACTATTAAGAAAAAGTAAATTGTTTAATATTAATTATATTATAGTTTATACTGTCTTTTTATTAATAGTTATTAGCTGTACCCGGCCACACACTGCTATGGCTCAAAATGTATCTATTATAATTATATAACACTCCCTGCAGGGGGGAATTTTGAAAAATCCCTTTTTAGTGTACATTCTCTTGATATACTCTATTAAAATGAAAAAAACGCATCTAAAATAGTATAATAGAAGCTGAGTCCTTCACGGTCAGCCTTAATCCTGTCCCTCTACCCCATGGGGGGATTTCAACATCTATATAATATAAAAAAATGTGTATCTGAATGCAATGTTGTGTCAAAATTTCAAAGCAATCGGTTAAGAATTTTTGGAGATTTAAGATTTTTGAACAAATGAACATTTACGTTTTTATTTATATAGATATAATGTATTTACTTTTTGTTGACATATTTAGAATAAAAATTTTAATTCAAAAGATAAATTTTACTAATAATCAATGGCGTAGCTACAAATTTTACTGCCCGCATGGTGCCCCAAACATGTTTGCACTTGAAGCAGTCATTCATTCTTCCCCTAGTTACACACTGCTCTTCATGGATATAACGAGTAACGGTTATAATGAGGAAATCTTGCCAGTCCCCTAATGCTTTTTTAACTCAGCTTAACTATATTTAAAGTTTTCATAGTACTGTACATGTGTAGTCAGGTATGATTCAAAAATGTCTAATTTATCTTGGTTTTCTATTTTGCAATGGTTTGAAAATATTTCGTCAATAAAAATATTGGTTTCCTTAAGTAGTGGTCATGTGAATTATTTATTTAACAAATGAATACTTTTACCAATAGGAAATATCTTGTTTATTTGTAATGTAGTATGTGAATTACCAGGGTGGTTGGAGCTGTGTCACCTCCCTTTCCAGCAACAAGTCGTTAAACCTTCTCACTTGTCAAGATGGCTCCATTATGATTGCTGGTCCCGAGGTTGGGACTTCTGCTCTATGTCGGTCGAGTGGAGGGAGAGTATTCGGGGTAGACGATAAGGCAAAGGCAGTATACGAGTAAAGAAAGACACCGTTTAACAAATAAAACAAGTTTATTAAAATGGACAAGATTGACAGGAATTACAAACACTAACTTTGATGCTAAACCACGTAGGGGCTCGAGAGAGTGTTTATATTGGTTTTCATACCTCTTTGTAGGTTTCCACGGTGATTTGAGTTCATTAAGGGCACACAGATATCCAATAAGTGGGCTTTAGGTATTTCAAATTGGCACAAATATAAAAGTTTGTGACTGTGATGACTGACGGTATTCGATGACATCAATCTGACTTTCGTTAAGAGACTCCCTCAAGAAGGGGAAGGAAGTATCTTTTATAGCTTTTTGCAGAGAAAATCGGTCATGTGATCAGTTGTTATAAGCGATAAAGGTTATAGGTGTTCCCGGGACCAAACCAAGTGACGAAGTTTGGATGCTAACTATAAACTTTCATGCAAGTCGAGCTGCAGGCTGTGTGGGAACAATAGAATGTTGATAGTTATCGGAGGAAGGTTCGAATGTTCTCAGCTAAGATTGTTTTCTAGCCCATCTGTTATATAACAGAAGTGGAAATAATTAAAATTTTTAGGTTTATAAAAATTCCAGATCTCCCAAGTACAATAGCAGGCATTAATGATGGTGTATTATATCTAAGGTGATCAGAAACAGTTGAACACAAAATGAAATACTGTTGAGGAGCTAAATGCTTCATTTTTTTAATTATATCATAGCAATTCAGTAAATGTTGTGTTATGTAAATAACAATATACAAAATTCTTTATTCTGACAAGAACAAAAAGATTCTTATTAGTTACTGGTTAAATTTGTATCTAAAAAAACATGATAATATAAGTGAAATATATATTAAGACAAATTTTATATATATGTTGTGTGTGTGTGTGTGTGTGTGTGTATATATATATAATTTGTGGAAGCCATGTTCCATGGCATTCAAGAAGAGTGGAAGTGACAAAGCCTAAGAGGAAGATTTATAGTTTTGACAATTTGGGTGAAAAAGAAATTTATCATGAAGCTTGGTGAATCTGGTGGCTGTATTTAAGATGCTGCAGTCGACAGTGCGTGACCAGTAAATGCAGTTTTAATTTTAATATACAATATTTACATATTGCCGTATTTATTTTTTCGTGTTTTAATTTATTATTTATGGCATTTGTATTATTTTTACCTTTAATTATGTGTATTTGCAATTTAAATTTATTGAAATGGATATTGTTTAGGATCTGAGAATGGATTAATTCACATGTTATTTCTAATGGGGAAAATGATTTGAACTTTAAATTTGAAGTATGGGTCATGTGTTTTTGTTTTTTCAAATGACTAGTCCATTGATTTGAATATTTGCAATATATTCTACTCAAAATCTTCCAATGTTGCAGTCTATGAATTTTCTCTGGGGCAATAAATATTTTGAAAAATTTAGAAAATAGAGGACTAAAATGTGAAAAACAATATTTAATATTTATTTTTAAAAAAACTAAATTTTTGTAGTACAGTACAGTGTTGTTTATCTGAATCAATTGGGGACTGGAGTTGTTCGGATAACCGATTATGTACGAAAAAATTATTAATTTATCCCATGTTGAAATTTTTCTCCATTGCATGTCACTTTGCGTTGAATTTTCATCGATGTTAAGTCTAATGTAAATTTTTTTATAATAATAATCGTGGCTATTGTATCGTTAAAAATTATTTCTTTATTTCTTACAAACAAAATAAATATATTGAAAAATATAAAAACAAAAAAATTATACATTAGAAGTTAATCTAGTATCAAAATTGTTCGAATCAGCACGACACAGTCCAACTGGAAAACACGTCATTTATCTGAAAGCCGATCAACTTTTGGTTGATCGGCTTTCAGATAAATGACGCTCTACTGTATTAATATTTTAATTGTATAAAATTGAAACCAAAATCTATCAGATACTTAATTGACATTTATTAAGAATTATTTAAATTTACTAATAGCATATATAACCATATAAATTCAGTTTAATAAAAATACATTTAAATATTTCCAGTCTCTGGTCATTCCAGACAAGTTTCAGCACATCTTGCGTGTGATGAATACAAATATTGATGGACGAAGAAAAGTTATGTTTGCATTAACTGCAATCAAGGTAAAGAATATTTTGTTTATGTGAAAATTAAATACCAAGATATTCAATTTTTTTTTTCTTATCTCACTAGGGAGTTGGACGTAGATTCTCCAATTTGGTTTGTAAAAAAGCCGATGTTGATCTGAACAAGAGAGCTGGTGAATTGACAGAGGAGGAGGTAAGAATAAACAATTCATCTGATATAATTATTATAAAAAATTATTTTGTAAAAAGGAACTGTAAAGAACATCATTAAAAGGAACAAAAGTAGACAATGAGTAGAAATGGAGTCAGATGAACCTAATTTTTATATATGAATGTCTCTTTATGACTGAGATAGCTTTCATTCTAAATTTTCACCCATTTCCTAGATAAAGGAATAAGAACTATAGATACTAGAATATACTATAGAATATATAGAAGATACTAGAATAAAGGAATAAGAACTGTTTCTATTGGTTATCATTGATATACTCATTGGGAAAATTTTCAATTTCAGTTTATTTTTATAAAAATTAAATAAAAATATGACAAACTATTTTATATATCATTTTGGCTCTGAAATTATGTTAAATTTGTTTTTTAATAAAGGTTTCTCTACTTCCATTTTCATAGGTATTATGCATGCAAAAGTGTTTTTGTGCATAGAAGCCGACGTCATAGAATTAAATCTAGTTGTTCCATTATTTAAAATTCCAAAAGTGTTATAGAAAAAAGATGCATTATTTTTTAAAACAAAGTTCTATATTGACATGAGGGAGACTTGTAAATTAAGTCAAAAAAATTTGTCAAAGCCAATTCTTTGCTGGATAAGTGCTCTGATTGTTATGGCTAGATGTTCAACTACTGTAGCAAAACTTTAACAATATGTTGAAAGTATTAGTGTTTAATCTGTTAGCTTTTTAATTTCATACAGATTTTGTTCATCTGAAACATTTGTCTCAGATATGATGTAAAAATGTACTTTTAATGTATTTAGTTTTACTAAATTTTGATGTAATTGATTTCATGAATTCTACAATTGATAAAATTATTCTAGGTAGAAAAATTGGTAACAATCATGTCAAATCCTCGTCAATACAAAATTCCAGACTGGTTTTTGAACAGACAGAAAGATGTGAAGGATGGAAAGTACAGCCAAGTTACATCTAACATTTTGGAAATTAAATTACGTGAAGATCTTGAAAGACTAAAGAAGATCAGAGCTCACCGTGGTCTCCGTCATTACTGGGGGTAAGAGAGTTATAAAAATTGAAAATGTAAAATCTTGGAGTTATTTAAATAACTCTAATGAAAAATTAAATAGATAGTAGAATCTGCTTGTATTTATGGATAGTTATCAATTCTAAAAATTACCAGTTTCCAAAGTATATAATTTGAATGTTGTAAATTAATTTATTGGGATCAGAATTTGGTTGTGATTGTTATTATTCTCAGATGGCATTTTTAAGGTATTCTTTTGCATTGTTGGGGTTGATGATGTATAATCATTGTTGGTTTCATCAGTGCTTTAAACATCATTTTTATTGTTATTTCTTGAATTACATTGTTTTCCATTGAGACATTTTCTTGATTTACATGCTAGTTACTGTTAGAGACAGTACTGTAAAAAACAACAGGAAAAGAATACTAGATGAATTACTATTAATTATTAATTCTATAATTAATTAATTTTAGTTACCCATTTTTTAATTGTTTTATCAGGCTTGGGTTATGTTAGGTTTTTTTTAATGTCAATCAATAAAATCATAATTTATTTCTGTAGGAATGAACTTCAATCCACAAATATTCTTGCTTTGTCAAACTGTTTTTCATTCAGTTGTCGGATGCATTTTGGGATAGTCTCTCTCAGTATGGCATCGAATGTAAAATGTGCCATACTGAGACAGGAATCCCAAAATACATCTATGATAATTGATGAAATAGAAATGGTTTGACAAGGCAAGCATATGTGTGGATTGATGTAATTTCTAAAGAATGGAACAATATAGTCCCACTTTGAAATTATGTTAAATTGCTATCTGAAGACCAGAATTGCCATTAATTGTAACCTTTATTTATTTTATTTATTTATACAGACAAGGTAAATCTCATCATTAAATTTTATTCAGTTGATACGTGTTCATCTCATTTGTACATGTTTCGGTCATTCCTTGCCCCTCTTCAGCCAACTAAAATAAAAGTTCACAAGTTACAACACTATAAACAAACATATAAGGTCATGTTAGACACTGACTTTGAGCCACCCTTATGCACTGGAACTAATAAAGAACTCTTCCATTTTTCCGGAATAGTACCAGTTCTCAACACCTTATTAAAATTATCTAATAAACAATAAAAAGCAATTTCAATTTTTCAAAATTCTGTACGTATGCCATCTATTTCCGGTGCACTACCAACCCTCAACTTACTTAAAGTGTCTCTCAATTTCACCTCCGAAATATCTGAATCCAGTGTTTCATTCGACCAAACCACACACTCATTAAAGACTGCTAAATCAACATTATATGGTCTCTCAGAACCATAAAGGGAAAAGAAATAACTAAACCAATCAGATGAAGTAATATTTACCCTAACAAAATTTCTTCTTCCTTTACATAAATTCCAAAATAATCTATTATTTCTGTTAAACTTTTTAGTATTCTGAATCCTTTACAAAATTCTTTCTTTTTTGCCAAACAAAATTCTCTTTACTAGACTTCAGTAAAAGACAAAAAACTCCTCTGAGCCACCAAACCATTTTTCTTAAACTCTAACCATGCTTTATTTCTAGCTTTAATCATTAATTGACAGTCCAAATCAAACCAATTATCTATTCCTACCATTTTTTTTAGTCATATGATTCACTCCATTCTTTTTAGTGATCTCCATTATAACCTTACTAAATCCAACAAGGATATATTAAATGTCTGCTCTAAACAATGGTCCAAATCAGCAGAAAACGTCCCCACCAGATCACTATCCCAAAAAATCCTTTCATAACAACTACCACTTCCTCCCAAAGAACCTGTAGAAAGATCTTCCAAATAGAGTACCATCAGACAGTGATCAGACCAGAAACAACTCTTAATTCTAAAACATTTAACACAATTCCACACACAAGGAGTAACTATTCCCAAATCAATTACTGAAGACCCTTGATTAGAAACAAAAGTATACTCTCCCACTTCATCACCACATGCTCTACCATTTAGAATAATTAAATCATTAGCCACACAATACTCAAGTACTTTCCATCCTCTAACATTCATGTTTACATCCTTAGATCTCTTATTAGCAGCAATACCAAAACTATCACATATACATGTCTGAATCTCATTACAAATACCTATTCGTGCATTAAAGTCACCCAACATAATCCAATTCAACTCATTCTCAAAAATTTCTTGCCACCATTGTTCCTGCATGTAAACAAAACAAACTTTAAATTCCCCAAGTGGTAATAAAATATTAACCAACATAATATAACTATCACTATCAATAATAATAAATTTTAATGAAGATCTAATACAAAGCAACCAACCGACCATTGGCCTACCCCTATTATGATCTCTTAAAGCATCATCAACAATACATTGATATTCCCTTAATTCCTCCCAATAACATTTACAACTGCTCTTAGTAAACCAAGTTTTTGATAAAAAGAACACGTCATATTTTAATAAATAACTTCAAAAAGACTGCAGTTTGTTGCTAATTCCAGCACAATTCCATGCCATAATAGAAAAAAAGTCAGAAGTCAATGATGGTTGCTATGAGATTGGAACAACCTTGGCCAATAGTTCATCATATTTATACCAAACTCCATCAACTAACAGCTTATCATAACTTAAACAAACACTTCTTGAACCTTCCTCTCTTTTTTTCTTTCCAAATACAGTCAAATTATATCTAATATCCTTTAAACATTTTGAGAAATCATCATACAAAAATACATTAAGATTCTTGTTCTCAAATACTGCCTTTTTAAACGTTAATTTGGCACTAAAAGAACCAAATTGACAAATCACTGGTCTCGGTTTATCTCCAACTCTTTTCCCAACCTATTGTATATTTACAAAATATAACTAGGAGAAATTCAGAGTATTAACTGCAAAAGATTTAACAATATCAAATATTTCCAAAGATGACTCCTCTTTCTTCTCCAATCCCCAAATAACAACATTATTCATCCTTCTCTGATTATCCATAATATCCAGTTCCCTCTTGAATGAGGTCAATTTCATATAAACTTTATCCATATCAAGAGAATGCCCATCTTCATTTACTTCCCTTTCAACCTTCAACTCAACCTCTCTTAACCTTGCCTCAAAATCAACCAAGGCCTCATCTACATTCTTCATCCACTCTTTTAGGTGATCCAATCTTCTGATAAATTCATCAACTTTACCATTTAACGAAACATGCAATCGCAATAAAAGCCAAACCCCTTCTGCCATATCAAAATTTGAGTCCTGCAATAAATTTGAAATATCCTCTTCACCAGAAGGGCTCTCGCGCCGTAACCTAGTTGATGATCTTTCCGGAATGGTTGGAGAAAACGTCATCCTCTTCCGAGCCTGGGTTATAATAATAAACTAGACTTACCTAGAAAATAATAAAATAACGATTAAATCACTTGTTTTAACAAAATTTGATAGTCTCCGAAGTATCCAGAGAAGTCACTGGTTAAATAACATGTTATCAGAATAGTCTAATCCCGAAGTGTTTATAATAATCATTTTATTATATTGTACTAAATTCTGTTGATTTCTTTGAAATGCAGATAGCTGGGATGAGTTAATTATTATTTGTTAGTTTTCTTGTAAAACTTATTTCATGTTTAATTCAAAATAATAAATTAAATAAGCTTAAATTGGTTATTTATGATAAAAATAAATTTTTAAAAAATACTTAAGAAATCAATGATCTTTTCAGTCTTCGAGTCAGAGGTCAACATACCAAAACAACTGGAAGAAGAGGAAGAACAGTCGGTGTATCTAAGAAGAAGAATTAATGTTGATACACGGTTCATTGTAACAAAAAATAAAAAAGTGATTGAATTCTATACTTATGGTATCTTTATTTTTATCAATATATCTTGTTATTATAGTCTGTTATGGCATTAAACAAAGATCTATACTGTTACTAATACATTTCAGTTTTAAAAAGACATTATTTAATTAGTATAATATAGATATTAATCATAATTAGGTAACATTTTATTACTTTTCATGTTAACGTAAGATTTGACTTAAATCTGTAGTTTGTAATGCAGTGAATGTGTTCATTTATTAATGTATTGAAACCCTTCATTTATCTCTTGATTAATGAAAGTATCTTGACTTAGAAAAAAATGTCAATTACCTATATTTGCATTGCCTCTGAAAAAATTAAAATTGCATGCTATTATCAATGGTTAAATTACTAGAAAAAATTTTAATATGAATAATATATAGGAAAAGTATTTGGAATTTTCTTTGGTTTCAAGTATAGTGAGTTTACATCAATATCAAAATTTATTTGCTGGTAATGTCACTTCACTGTAATCTATACAGTGAAGTGACCTGACGCTAAAGCTGTGAAGCGTAGAACACTTAACATTGTTGGCGTTCCTTCAGAATGCTGGGCTGCAATTTAAAGTATGCTCTCCACGTCAAATTAGTAGTGGCTTGCCCCTACATATCATACTTTCCCTTTAATAGATCGTACCGGTGATCTAACATCTTTCCTAGAGTTGTATTTGTGACGAATGAATAATTGGTGAAACGTGTGTCACATTGCAATCACAAAAGCAGCATAACTAGTTAATTATACTTAATACAGGTGTGCATATTACATACCTGTATTAGGTATAAATAAAACATTTTTGACATAACAGTTTCTGATGCCCGACATATGTGGAAAATAGATTAAATTTAGGCTGAAAATGAGGGCTTCGGAGTTCCTTTTTACTTCCCAACTTATAATGTATATAAAACGGAAAAGTATTGGAATCGTGTCAAATTTGACCCTCCAAGTTTTTTTTGCAAATTACATGTTTGGCGACCTCCCGAACCCCTCAAAAAAGTCAATAAAAAGGGAAAAATTCGCGCGCGTGTGTGTGTTGGCGTCTAATTTGTTTAATTTCTTTATTTTCTGTTCTGAGATATTGTTTAATATCTCAGAACGGGTAAAGTTTAAGAAACGAAATGTGGCACTGTACCTTGCGTATAAAGGGGCATTAATACTATTAAATTTTGGTTCTTAAAGGTCGACAGAGTGAAGACAAAAGTGGTCATGTGTCATATCTCTTAATGAATATTTTACTCGTTATTAGCGTTCAAAATTTAAAAAAATAAAATAAAACTCGTCTCTACCCTCAAAGTAAGCTTTTTTGTCATTTTATAATAGTACAGAAAAACCCGTTAAGATGTTCTCGCCTAAGATGCTAGAATGTATACGGGGACACGATTTAGTTCAACCACTTTGATGCTTGTGTTAATCCATCTAACTCCGATTCTGACCACAGAAATTATTAGCCTTCAAACGGTGTGAACAAAATCATGCCCCCACCCTACAGTCTAACATCCACACATATAGAAAAAACCTCGAATCTTTTGCATATTTCGAAATTTCAAGGTTTCCCGAGTCCAAAAAATGTAAAAATTGGGAGGGGTCATTTTTTGACCGAGCGCTACACTTTCCTTCTGTTATATATAACAGCCGGAGAAGTAAAAATTATCGAATACATATATATTACTTAGAGGCGTCTTATAGCTTTGGAATAAAAAGTTTCAAGGTTCTATCTTTATTAGAACTCTATTTATTCAATATTTTATTCTGAGGTCATCAGAATTTCCGGGTGTCTTTCGGTAACAAGTCCGCTCCTGGTCGGAGTTGGAGTCAGTAAATTTTTACGCGACTCCACAGCCCTGCTAAAAATCCAGAAGACAGATATATTTCGAAATAAAGGTTTTGAGATAGACAGGTTCAACTTTATATGCATGGGCATCCACGGAAAATTTTCCAGGAGACAGAGCATGGAGACAAATAATTAATTGGTACATTTTTACTCAATCCCGTTTGACCCTATCTGCGTGCCCATGTATACACGAGGTAGGGACCAATGTTTGCACCTAACTACGTTTTAGATGTTATAGGTATAAAACAATGTCGTCATTTATCAATATACTCTTATAGTTTAACACACCTATTACATTTTGGAATTAGCATTTCAATATCCTTCAAAAATAGCCCACAGTTTTGTCAGCAAAATGCTCCTAAACTGCCCCCTGCAAATCTTCATCAATTTTTCGGAGACCTTCTTTTTTCATTTTAGGATGATAATCACTAGGAACCAGGTTCGGACTGTAAGATGGATGACGAAGCACCTCGAACCCACATTCCTTCACAAAAGCTTTGACAATGGCGACCGTGTGCACTGGCTCATTGTCCTGCAAGAGGCGAACACAATGCACATTAAGGCGACAAATTTAACCAAAATGAATGCTTCCGTGCGACTTATGCAAATTGGCGGAAAAAATTGTTGGATTAGTCCACATACGATACTATCATTATTTATTTTTATTATGTCTAAAATATAGTTACTCCTGAAACTTTTGGCGCCTACCATTTGTATATGTTAATAAATATAACAGATTTCTGTAACGTGATTTATGTCTACGGAAATATACAGAACACAGCGATTAAAAATAATGATAACTTAATTAATTTGAATAGAAGAATGTTAATAGATGAAGTGTGAAAGCACGTCGTGTATAAAAATAAAAGAACGATGTTACGCGACCGCCATTGATGTCGGAGATTGTACCTCGCTAAGTTATTTTAAGATTTTACATCTTTGTTTTAAAAAAAAATTCTTAACTGTATGCTACAAAACAATTTTATCGTTTATAGACTAAAGAGGGGTGGGCGAAAACTGTAAACTGCAATTTTTAATTATATTTCAAATTTACTTAATTTAAAATATGTGAAATTAGCAGTGGCTTGACCCTGTACATCATACTTTTCTTTTAACAATAGAGTCGTGTCGGTCACCTATCTAACTCCTTTTGAAGGAAAATTTTGCATCGGAATTCCTGTATATTTAATCGGGGCCTCCTTCCCCTGGGGTTTTCATATTTGATGTGGTCTCTCGTCTAGCTAAGTCCGTTCTCGAGACCAATGTAAGACAGCCAGACAGACGGCAACAGTGAGGATTTCTAGGTTTACAATGTTTACAAATCGCATCCCGATCACACCGCACATTTCGTCGACATGCAAATACAATAAGTGAAAGAAGGGCAAAGAAGAAAGCGGCACCAGTGTTCGGGAATACAAGAAATTTTGTTGAAATAAAAACATTGTGGATTGAAAATTCAGTTTGAAAACGAGTTTTAAATTTGAATGCCGACATTCGTTACTGGATGGCGAGATAAAGACGAAATGTAATTTCGGAAGGAAATCTAAGACGATTTATGGAAGAAACTTTTAAGAAATTCGTAGGAGGAAAACCTTCCAGACGGACTTGAACTAAAAGTTTTAAAATTCGACAAGCCGCTTTGTAAATAAATGGTTTAGAGCTGTAAAACACCAGCAATAAACGTGCAGAATTTTTAACAAAAGTCGAAGCTCAACAATGGAAAACTTTATGCTTGTTGCCTTTTAGATTGTAAGACATGGGAGGGTTTCACGGGACAACTGCCTGCTCGTAGGGCGGATCCGGCGCCCTGCGCTGAACCCGCAGTTGGTCGATTACATCCGGATTTAAGATACGGATTCCGGTTCCGCCCTGCAGGCCCCTTTGG